ATATTATTGATACAATATCGAGGAATATTTTGATATACAACTTCAGCCCTCAAACGCTCTCCATACTGTTTTACTATAGATCTCAGAATAGACTAAAACTCAAAAATCAGCCTAAACGTCAAAAATCTTAAAAAACAAAAACTCATTTTTTAAAATCGTATTAATACTAGTGTTTCCTCACTAAGATGTCGTTTTAGAAGAATGGTATAAGGAACAAAAATATTCTCCATTAGGTTTTAGCATAAGTCACTGAACAAGAGAAATCTGTATATATAATGTATATACCGAATATATAGTCATACATTTTGAACAAAAAATTCAAAATGTTTTCCCAGTACTTTTTTCGACTAAGTGCATTAAAGTAAAGTGAAACTTAATTTTAGGTATATTATGTCAAAGAATAAAATATTCTACGTAAAATTCCACAGAAATTTAAAGTATAAAATTATATAAAATAACAACAATTATATTGCTGACTTGATTTAATTTTATACTATAAATTTCATAAAAACTATTGAATACAAATATATAGTTTGTGTAGGGGGAACATTGTCCCCCTATTTAGATTACCCCCGACGTAAACTTCCAAAACGCCGATACACGTGTCTTCTCTTTTACCCTCTATTTCATAATCTGTTAGAATTTCCCGGTAATTATTTTTTGTGTTCACCTGATTTCCTGGACCTTTATTCGATTGTTTTTTCTAATCATAAACCCGCAAGATAACTTATTTTCATCTTTGGTATGTCATTGGTATTTGTTTCTTTACATTTTATGTAAAAATGTAATTATTATCGGATTATCGGAGTTAAAAAACCTGTAAGGAAAGTAGTAAAGTCGGACGGGGCCGACTATATGATACCCTTCACCACTTTGAGTATATTCAACAGATGAATCCTAACAGAAGTCGCATTTTTAAAGGACCAGTAAAATGAAATTGGAACCATAAACACGTCATTCTGCAACCGATACTAAATTGTTCATTTGGTCAGATATAGAAGCTATATTTAATCTGAACCGATTTCAGGAAACTTAACACACATCCTTCTAGACCTAATTTGTTACGCTGTGCCAAATTTCGTGCAAATCGAAAGATATATAGGGACTTTGGTGCACCATTTACATTAAATCTGACGAAAGTATATGTGAGAGCTATATATAAATCTGAACCGATTTTCAGGCAACTTTACACACATCATTCTAGACCTAATTTGCTACGCTGTGCCAATTTTCGTGCTTAAATCGACTCAAAAAGTGATTCTATGCATATTCTCAAAAGGAGTCTATCTCGATTATTTTTGCATGTTACAAACATATGCACAAAAACATAATACCCTGTACCAGAAAAAAGAATTTGGTTCAAGAACCTCAAAACCTGGGGGCTACCAGAAAAAATTAACAAATATTTATAATTTATAGTGGAGAGATGTGCTACCTAATAACAACTCGACGTACTAAATTACAGTCAATTTGGTCGAAAAATCCGATCAGAAACCCCAAAATACCAAACATTTTGGGGTACCGTTATATGGGTACTACCAGAAAAACTGGACCTATATTTATAATTTTTAGTAAAGTAATTTGGTACCCAATAAGAACCCAATGTAGAAAATTTCAGCGAATTCAGTTATAAAACGAGCCCAAAAACCCGAAAATACCGAAAATTGGGGGTGCCCTTATATGGGGGCTTTCCGAAAAAATGGACCTTTATTTATAATGTTTGGTAGGGAGATTTGCTACCCAATAAGAACACAAAGTACCAAATTTCAGTGAATTCGGTCGAAAAATGCGATCAAAACCCCCAAAATACCGAAAATTGGGGGTAATCTTATATGGGGGCTATCCGAAAAAATTGACCTTTATTTATAATTTTTGGTAGGGAGATTTGCTACCCAATAAGAACTCAATGTACAAAATTTCAGCGAATTCAGTTAAAAAACGCGCTCAAGAACCTCAAAATACCGAAAATTTGGGGGTACCCTTATATGGGGGCTATGCGAAAAAATGGACCGTTATTTATAATTTTTGGTAGGGAGATTTGCTACCCAATAAGAACACAAAGTACCAAATTTCAGCGAATTCGGTCGGAAAATGCGATCAAAACCCCCAAAATACCGAAAATTGGGGGTAATCTTATATGGGGGCTATCCGAAAAAATGGACCTTTATTTATAATTTTTGGTAGAGAGATTTGCTACCCAATAAGAACTCAAAGTACCAAATTTCAGCGAATTCAGTTAAAAAACGCGCTCAAGAACCTCAAAATACCGAAAATTTTGGGGTACCCTTATATGGGAGCTATGCCTAAACGTGGACCGATTTTCTCCAATTTCAATAGGGTTCGTCCTTGGGCCAATTAAGTGACCTGTGCCAAATTTCATCCAAATCGGATCATAAATGCGACCTGTACTTTGTTAACAAAAATACATGGACGGACGGACAGACGGACATGCATAAATCGACTCAGAAAGTGATTCTATGCATATTCTCAAAAGGAACCATGGGTCTATCTCGATTATTTTTGCCTGTTACAAACATATGCACAAAGACATAATACCCTGTACCACAGTGTGGTGAAGGGTATAAAAACGGGCGTTGTTGTGGTGTTTATTGCAAAATATATTGTCAATTATTAGTGCATAGAAAGGGTATATATTAAGCATTCCTTTGTAATTGTAGTCCTTTGTAAGATTTTTCAAGATTTGTAAATAAATACCTACGTAACACATGTTCATAATTTGGTGTCTCCTTCCAGGCATGATAAATATTCAAAAACAGCGACATAAAGAAATAATTGCTTATGATTGCAGCACAACAGCAAATGTAGAATATCAATTGGCCATTGATGTTCTTCCAGCTTGCATCGAGGATTTCGTTAATTTTCATTTGTAATCGTTCAGACATGGGGAAATCTTTGTAATTAAACGAATTGAAATTAGTTTATTTCTGTAGATAACGATATCAACTTCACTCTTACTTTTGTGGAAAATATCAATTTTTCGAATGTATTCATGAGTTTGGGCCTTAAGCAACAAGTAGTAAAGTCTACGTTGTATAAACAAATAGTAAACCATTTTAATTACCGATATTAGTGTTTGAAATGCTGTGCAAACGCTCTGTAAAATAAAAAAAAAAAACAATATTTTTTAAATATATTTTAATAGCAAATTAATTACCTACCTCAGCGATTTTGGGTATATCTTTAATACTTTCAATCGTATAACACCAATGTCCATAGAAGGAAATTACACTTGAAACGACCAAAATTATATTTATTCTGGAAGTAAAAGAAGGAAAGAAACATATTAAATATGTACACAAGTATTTTATAAAATAGTTATATTCAACGCCACGCTTTACAGTTTCATTTGTATCAAATGTGATGTATGTAAATGTGACCACCAATTTGGACATGAATTCAAATAACGTAGTCAATATTTAGTGGATCAAATGGACCCAGAAAAATAAACAAAATGTTTATCCTGGGGCGTATATATTTACTCCTGAAGGACATATACCCGAGAAGTTGATAGTATAACCAATAAATGCTTTTGACCTTAAAACTGAAACCAATTGTATGGCTGCATGTACTCTGAAGTGGGACATATATGTAAATATTTAAAGATGTATATGTGTTATGATATTTGGAAAATATGTTAGGTTTAGAAAGTGGAGCTGGTGACCTATAATCGGTCAAGGTGGTGCAAATATTGTGAAATATTGCCCGGGTTCAGAATATAGAACTACAGATGATTAACTTTTCGTGGTAGCCGGCTATTAAATTAATTTTTGCAAATCTTGGGATCCTTAACTAAAAGCTTAACAACGACATCATAGTAGAAGATGTGGTCACAAAATCTGATCTATTCTAATTAGTTAGACGCGATAGAAATGTACGAAAATATGTTCCTCATTCGTTTTGGCAGAAGGCATGTCATGTCAGCAATAACATGCAAAAGCATGTCAATTGTCCAATACATCCAACCTTAAAATGAAAAAGAAACTGGAAGATATTGCCGAAATAATATATGACGAACTTAATAACGAAAATTGAAAAAAATATATTTTTATATTATTTAAAAAATTTATTGATAACGTTGATTGTAATTATTGCAAATACAATTAAGAATAATGGTGAAAAATTATTCACTGCTTTAATACCACATACATCTACACCGAAATCAGGAAGCAATCTATCCAAATAATAATATTAATAAATATTATTAGGAACATTGTTTATAATGCGTCTTGTCATTAATGGACAAGACGATGGCCATCGTAAGTGTTCCGAAACTGAACAATCGGTTCGTTCCCAATGATACATTTTTACTCCACAGACATATCATTCAATAAAGTTTGAAAATTAGATCTTTTTATATTAAACAAAGCACAATTTTTTTTTTTTTTGTAAAGGCTTAATATTTTTTATTGTTGTTTATGGAATAGTGAAATTACATTTAATCAAACCATAAAAATCGAATTATGGTAAGGACCGCAAAAGGTTGATACATTATTTATTATAGATTCTCCACTGCTAATTGCTATAACATCATCGTCATCTCTCTCAGACGTATCGTACCCAGACGTGACATCTCCGCTACTGATAATAAAAACATCCTCTTCCTTGGAAGAACTGGATTCACCACTGTTTAGAATAATTACATCCTCTTCCATCGGAAAACTGAATTTATGGGCATCGATCTCCGGATCATTCCATTCTGGAATGTTTTTCAATGACTTTTGCGAATAACTTTCAATCTCCATGTCGACTAAGCTACGCTGCTTTTAACGATTGAATGGATTTTTCAAAGCTTTTTTTAGTTTTACTGTTCCTAATCCTTCAAAATATAATCGGGCGTTATTGTCAATATTTGTACTTGCATCTTTGTTGCACATATAATAAGGAATAATGTTAATATTATAATACTGACCATAATATCGGGTTAGTTGTCATCTTCGCTCTTTTTGGCGGAATAACATCTCTATCATATTCATAGTTTTGCGATTGCACCTTTGTCGAAATTTAAACTTCACCTTGATTTTCTGGAATTGTGCCAGTCGGCGAATGGGCCTTTTGAATACTCCTGCTGAGGTTTTTATTTCAGCACCGGAAAACACATAAGAATTCTTCCCAACGGACACTTTATTGGAGGTGGGTTGACTTCTTTGAAAATTACTATATCTTCTTTCCTAAGATTGCTCATGTCTTGTCCCAATTTTTGGAGGTCTTGTAAGCATTCTTCTGACAACCTTTTCAAAAATTTGTGTTTAATATGTGACATTAAGTTCCAGTGTGATATGCTGTATGTATTCACATTATCTGCTCTGCTGCCTACTTGCGAAATTAAAGCTTCTCCGATTGGAAAATGTGTGAGTGTTTCAGTATTTTGTATGAGTGCTTCAGTATTTTGCCGATATTCGGTATTCTTGGTGGGATAAAACGGAATTGTATGCCCTTGGATCCTGGGATATGGATTACTTTATTTTTAGTAGAAATATTTTCTGTTTGAGAAAATATGGTTTCAATGGGATTGCTATTTCTTCTATTATTTCTAATAATTATGGATACAAAAAAACTGTTTTACAGCTTAAATTTCTGTTTCAATATACTTTGTCCTTGTTGCACATTTTCTAAATTTGTTTATTGTATTTATGAAAGTATTTTATGTTTGGATTCGATAACAGTCGTTTATGATATTATCCTCTTTTCGTTTGTAGTTTACTGTTTTACGAGAAAAGGTCAAAGAAGGCCGGCCATTTAAGAGTATCTGCATTAAATTTTGTGATTGTGGGCAGTGGCAACACATTGTCCAAGTTCTATTCCTTTTCCTTCAGATAGTGTTGTTGTCTTAAAGTTTTCTTTTACCATATTTTTCAAGGGTGGTGTTTTCCCATATTGAGAAATGCATTTCTTGAATTTGTTCCTACAGTTTTTCTTTTACTTTCATATTTGATGCAGTCGGATCCATTGTAAGTACTCGCTTTAGAGACGCTTTCATAACATTTTGTCTTCTAATTGCTGAGTTAGTTGTTGATACGAAGCTATTGACACGCCGTTATTTGCGGTTGCAGGGGGTTTATCAGCAGCCGGGAATTGGCTTGTTTCTGGCGCTGATCTCCTGGAAGGTTCTACCATGACTGACTCAAAAAACCCCCTGTATTTCATTTTTCAAATCTAGCTATGGTCCGAAATTTGCCTAATTATTATTTCCTAAGTCTAACAGTACCTGTATGTAATCCTATTGGACGGATATCTTATCCTACGTACTTTTGTAGGTTGCGTGTTTTGTCCTACTGGAAGGACTAGGGGTCACCAATGTTTATTGAAAGACTATTTTGGCCTTCAATGGATTATTGTAGTGGAGTCAGTATCACCAAGATTAATGTAGGTTTTAACTCACGCACATGAAGTTCTCTCTTTCTTATTGATTTATTTGTTCTTAAATACTAAATTATTGCTAAATTGCACATTATTTCCTAAGTCTACTGTGCCATAGTGTATGTAGTGGTAAGTAGCAATTGCTTTAATATACATACATGCATTTTGGTAACACATATCCTCATTCAATTTCGAGTCCTTGTTCGTCTTTTTCGTTCTAATTATTTTGAATCTTTAACAAAATTTCGCAATAAGACATTTCTTGGCCTACAAAAATGTTGCTGATAAGATTTTAGAAAGACAAGAAATCGATAAATGTTTACCGTAAATATTTCTCATACAGATTCGGATCCCAAAGCATTTGAATCAAATTTTTAGATACTAAAATTGATGTCTGAACCGGTTCTAACCAACAGATGTCGCATGTTGTTTTATTTGGGCAAGATTTCGGATTGTCCGAATTCAAAAATTCCAACGACATTCGAGCGATGCACGATTCTATTGTGTGATTAGAACTTTTGTGAAGTAAATGATATACCTATAAATTTTATTAAAAAGTCCGGTTCATTTATTACCACGAATAATTTGCTATGGTAAATATTTCAGATGAATTGAAAGTTCTTCATATTGTACAATTTATTCGAAATTTATTACTGTTCGTAGATGTAAGGTTTTCTGAGCAAAGATATAGTGAATGTGGAAAATAAATATTAGGAGGCCAAAAAATGTTGTCTTGTGGTGTTTATTGTTGATGCAGAAACTTCGTTTCATATATATTTTTTTGAATTATCCACTACAAAAATTATATAAAATTACGGGATTATTACTTTTATTTCACTTCTACTTGTTAATCAACTGCGTCAGAAATAGTATATTTTAAATGCTGCGTTAACACGTTGATACATAAGTTAATATAACAGTAATGAGGCGTTTTTCGATTTTCATGTGGTGCGGTGCTTAAGTATTTCCTTTCAGAGTTCACAATTATTGCATATTTTACTTGTCCTTGAATTGTTTTTGTTTTGGAATGTTAGCCTGATGGCTACCTTCTCCAGATCATCGTTTCTTATAATTGTTATAGTTCCAAGAAAGCACTTCGTTTTTGTGGTGCTCTTGTTTTACATATTACATTTTAAAATTCATATAATTTTTCCTTTTTTTGGTTTTTGTAAGACTCCTACCGACTGCGCTATGTACATAATTGAACTCACGAATATTTTATTTTACTTATCTTTCAAAATTAATATACTCACAAGTAGATGGACTTCTTGATCTTCCTCAGATAATTTGAATATTTATATTATTCAGTTTTACATAAATGATGATGTATAAGCAATGACGTTATTTCTGATCGACTAATATGGCCAACATTTTATTAAACTTTTATTATATGTTGACCAATATTATGTGGATGAAAAATGTTTAAGGCAAAACATCGGTTGTCGGATGAACTAGTTATTTATATTTAATGGTTTAACTTACATTTTCAAGGAGTCCTTAAATTTCGATGGCGACGTTATGTTGACTCCCAATCCCAATGAAATTCTTATCAATTCTTTGATTTTTCGATAGTTGCGTTTCTTTATCAGTTCCGCTTCACCGTCAGATATCATAGCGATTTTTTTTAAATTAATCCCTACTTTATGATAATGGTTCTGCAATAGCTGCATTTTGTTGTGCAGCCTTATTTATAACCAATAGTGTACCTATAACATACTGCGAGTACCAGAGTAAAGTAAATAGAAGCAATATTTTCAAGGTATAGCTTTTGTCTCGTAAGAAGTAATACAAATAATTTTGATTATAATACCTCCATGGGAAATGGTGGAGACGTAGGTCTAGGTCACAATAGTTTAATAAAGCCTATTTTATATTCATTAATTTTATTTACATTTCCTGCCTACAGAACCTAAACTATAAGACTGTGACAATCGTACATATGATTTCGGCTCACCTATCCTCTGAATTACTAGGTGTTCAAATAATTGCTCCGATTTACAGTATTATTTAGCTTACTTACATTTTTAAGGAGTCCTTCAATGGTGATGGCGATGTTAAGTTTACTCCCAGCCCAAATGATATTCTTATTAATTCTTTGATTTTATTATAGTTGCGCTTTTTCAACAATTCCACTTCCTTTTCACTCATCATTTTGCAATGCTAAAGTTTCAAGCAATAATAACCTCGGATCAAATTTTGATTGATATCTCTACTAATTACAGTCTGTTGACATAATGACTTCTTTATGCTCTATAGCAGTGCTTAAATGGATAAATGTACTAATTACATATTAACATTGTCGAATGGTCATGGTAGCATAATTAATAGTTAATATAAATGTTTACACCCACATGCGACACAGCACTTCTATTAACAAATGGTATTTTAAATGAAATCGACGCCTTTAAAAATATGAAGGACAACCCTTGTCTTTGTGGCCATGAACACAAGCTTAAAATGGATTTGATGTTAATAATAGTAAAGTATGAAAATGTATTGATTTGTGTTTTATTGAATAGTGTATATAAAATTATTGTGACTCCAAACTACAAATTTGAATTTTATTTAAATGGACACATATATCTATATGATTCGTGTAGTATAGGTGTCCATATTTACATGAAATCGGACGAAATTGAATGTAGTGCACATAATAAATTCTAAATCAATTTAGCCAATTTAAATATAAACCGATTTAATCTACCATCTGTAAAAAGGAATACAGTATTTTTCGGTTAATTGCACATCAAAATTTGCACCATTTTTTTAATTAACCGAGGAACCAAATATCCCATACCCGCTTAATTGAACTGTTTGTGCAATTACATAAATCACGCATAATTCGCCGAAATTAATTTCTAATGTTATTGTCAAATACAAATTAAACACTTGCGCTTTCTCGCGGCTTTTCCTTAGCAATAAACAATTGTTCTCAATTAGTAGAGATGTACCATAGTGTTTTTCATAAATGATGTCAAATATGTATGTAAAACCAGTAAGGAACGTAATAAAGTCGGACTGGGCTCACTATATGATACCCTTCACAATTTTGGTGTATTCTACATATGTATCCTAATAGACGTCGTTCTTCGAAGGAACATTGACATGAAATTTAACGAACTTAAATATGTGATCTTTATCTATCTATATTTATGTCAACCGGCTAATATCAATCCATGCCATTCTAAACCTATGCTAAATTTCAAATTGGAATTTTGGTGCTCCATTTACCTTAAATCGGACGTAAATATATATGGGAGCTATAACTAAATAGTATGGACGATATATCAAAATCTTAACAGATTTTCGCGAAAGTTTGCACACATCATCCTAGTCTCAATTCAGTAAGCTATGCCAAATTACGTGCAAATCGAAAGATATGTAGGAATTGTGGTGCACCATTTACATTAAATCGGAAGAAAAAAATATATGGGAGCTATATCTAAATCTGAACCGATTTCCCCGAAACTTAACACACGTCATGCTAGACTCAATTAAGTACGCTATGAAAATTTCGTGCAAATCGAGAAATATATAGGGGCTTCGGTGCACTATTTACATAAAATCGGACGAATATATATATATATATATATCATCAAACAGAAAGTGATTCTAAGCTTATTTTAAAATGGAACCATGGGTCTATAAATATCCGATTATTTTTCAACAATAACAGGGTTTAATTATCCGAGGAAATTTACATGTGATTTCGTATGCAATATTTGTTTGCCCCATCATGTGGTTCAATTAAGCGGGGAAACCAATTAACCGAAAAATACTGTATTTATTTTAGAATAACATTTTTCCACCAATCAATGTACATAATTTTAAAAATATATATGCATTTGTTCGTTGCTTACTCAATATTTGTACCTACGGTATGAACTATTATTAATTGAGCTAACCACAATTATATTTACTGTCTTTTGAAGTGAAATCACAAATGTCGTAAGTATGAAGCTAACCATTATGGTAAAATAAAACTATAAAAATTTAATGCAAACCGCAAGTTCATCCGAAATTAAAATTAAAGACTAATCCTTAGAAAATAGTACATAAGACCTTAACCTTTTAGCTATGGAAATTGAAAATCAGCGTTAAAAATGTAATTTACACGAAATAAACTATAATGATATAGCGAGGAAAGTTCAAAAGTCGTTAATTGCACTGTGCTACAAAATAACAAAAAAATTTTTTTCAGGGGTTCTATATTCTGTTTAGTTGAAGTCCCTGGACTAAGGTTTTTCTGGGTCACTTCGAAAATTAATTTTATAACGGTAAACATAGAGAATAACGTGGTTTCGTGGATTTTCAATTTGAAACATGAATAACTTATTTACTTTATAACGGATTTATATTATTCTTTTTTTCTTTCGAAAAGTACAATTTTTCCTTTCAAACAAGATATATATTTGGTAAATAGGTTGAGGATTAGCTGAGTTACAACGGTTGAAATGTGAAAAAATACGCAAAAAATGACAACATTTATTTTTCTTCGGACTGTACGATGAAATTATGATATCAAGCCATATAAGTTTTATTATATTACGGGGAAGAAAATTAAATTAGCTTTCAAAAATGATAAAAATCAAAAAAATCGGTTAAAAAATGAATGACTTATACACATTTTTGTATTGATTCTATGCATATTCTCTAAAGGAAATATGGGTCTGTATCGTTTCCTGTTACAAACCGTTATGTTTGCAACAGGCAAAGGGAAACATAATTATATGTGTATAAGTCATTCATTTTTTAACCGATTTTTTTGATTTGTATCATTTTCGAAAGCTAATTTAATTTTCTTCCCCGTAATATAATAAAACTTATATGGCTTGATATCATAATTTCATCGTACAGTCCGAAGAAAAATAAATTTTGTCATTTTATGCGTATTTTTTCACATTTCAACCGCTGTAACTCAGCCAATCCTCAACCGATTTACCAAATATATATCTTGTTTGAAAGGAAAAATTGTACTCTGTAGTATAAATCCGTTATAAAGTAAATAAGTTATTTAAGTTTCAAATGGAAAATCCATGAAACCCCTTTTTTCTCTATATTTACCGTTATAAAATTAATTTTCGAAGTGACCCAGAAAAACCAAAGGTATTTTCGTGGTCCAGGGACTTCAACTAAACAGAATTGGTACATTAGAACCCCTGAAAAATTTTCGTGTCGCACAGTGTTGTTTGCTAAAAGATTATTTATCTATATCTAAAGTAAACATTAAACACAATCATGTCTGGCAACATGTATAGGAACATACAATAAATAAACGGGAATCTTTGAATAGGGACGTTTTATACTTTTGTTTTAGCTTTATGCTGTAATAACGTTTTGGAGGTTCGTTATTATTGACTAAAATAAAATGAAAAAGCATAATTATATGTTTACATTACTAATTACAAATAGCGACTTATGCTACATGGGAATAAGCATAGTAAGCATTATACATGCTTCGTGGCTGTTTTTGTTTGTGTATATTAGAGTTTACCAATTCAAGTGATGCATCAGAATTGACACTAATTTTTGAGAGCACTTTTAACTGAAACGCAGTGTGAGTTAAACAAAAAGACCGTGTTGTACGATTTGATAGTTTAAACTAACATGAATAATTGATTTTACTGTCTATTTGTATGATAAATAATTAGTACAATTATTTTAACTTAACAATATAGTAAACCAAATGTTGAAATAATCATTTACAAAATATTACAGTGCAAAATTCTGCCAAGAATAAAAATGATTGCTATGAAAAATGTGCTAACGCTTGCTGTATGTGAGTTCACTTAACTCTGTTAACATAAAATAGGTATTGCATGAAACTGAAATAAGATCACATAAATAATTACGTAGTTGATGCAGCAGAGAGTAAAAAGTGTATTGATGTAGAAATAATGACTAAAACTAAACAGAATGGTTTCTGCAACTCAGCAGACCAAGGAAAATAAGAGAATTCAGCACGTTAAACTGCAGGATGATGTAGACTTGATGGTTGGATTAATTCTTGATGATCCTTGCAAGGAGTGGTGTTGGTATATGTTAACACCCTTTCAATTTCCTCTTGCCGACTTATCGAATGCAAGTTTTTAACCTTTCATAGGAGGTATGTAAATTATTCGAAGCTTCAAAATGTCCGTGTATGGTAACAATTTCTTTTATTTATGAATCTATTACCATTATTCCGGTCCTTTTATGGTGATGATTGTAGTTTCAGCTCCACATACCACTAACATCTTCCATTCCGCCGTATTCATTTATGAAATTGTGATTATAGGTATTAGGAACAGAGTTAATAATACTGATAGTATTATAGGACTGTTTGCAGTCCTCGCTTTTTTGTCGGAGTAACATCTTTTTCATATTCATCTTTTGTCGACTGTTTCTTGTTGGAAATAGTGTCGTCTTGCGTTGGATCTTTGTCTACTGTAATATTTATTACATTATGCAGACGAAATTAAAACACGATCCGTTCTAGTTCAGTTTTGCTACTGTTCTTAATTTACTAATGCTTTCTTAAATTTCAACAATTACAAGTATAAATGAACTTAAATCTTTACTCATGGGAATATGCATGGTCAGCATATTCCACATAATTGTAATTAACGTAGAAGGTGCAAACCTGTGAGAATGTAATTGATTAATTTATTATTGATTTAAATGATATACGCAACACTTGAATTACGTAATCTTGATAGCTTTACAATTTCTTTTAATCTACCAAGAATCATTATTTTGCTTTGACTATTTATACAATTTTGAATCACCATAAAATTAACTAAATATGTATAATAAGCATTATTCTTCAGCCCGTAACCCATGCATTATGAAAACATTCGAGTTGTTTCTTTATTTGGGTTGCTGGCCTGCATACACAAAAAACAATAATTAAGTTGGGTCAGTTATTCGCTGACAATAATAATATGCTTAAATAATATTAATATTAATGTAGGAAATCAATATGTTCTTTTTGAACATTCTCCCCCACGTTGAACCAGACAAGTTCAAGAAACTGTAGCGTCGATGAAATATGATAACGGCAGTGATTGGCGAGGGGTTGGTACTGGATTGCTGTTGTTGCTGCTGGTCGCCGAGAACTGGCGAAACTTGCATGTGACGTAGATAGCTACTCCAATTCCTACGCAAAGAGC